TAATAAATCCGCCATATTGCCGACCGCGCACCTGAAAATCGCATTTGAAGTCGAATTTGAATTTCAACTAATTTCAACCTCCGGTTCGTTTATGCGGAGTGCGATAACCTAGTCTTTAGTGTAAAATAAGGTTTCAAACACAGATTTCAGAAACCTACATTTCGTTAGTTCCGTATCGTTTATGCCGTGATTTGAACCTTGGTTTCAAACTCAGGTTTCGATTGAAGTTAGGTTTAGAGGCTCGCATAAACATGGCTAATGTTTCTGCAATGTGTTGTAGCAACATAATGGGAATGTAGCAAAAATACGGTGAAAAAAATTTCGGTGATTTATTTTAGGAGTACTCCACATTTTTACTCTTAGAATTCAATGTGGACTGCAGAGAAGTGTTTCTTAGGCACCCGAAACTCACTATAAGTCCGAAAGTAGCCGCGCGCTCCGCCCGGGTTCCCAAGCGGGCTCCGATCGAAGTACTAACTACGCTCGACGTTGCTGGACTTCGGTGATCGCCCGTGTGTCGCTGCCACTCAGCCACAGACGCTCGCGTGAGAGAGATCGGTTATATAGCATTAATAAACATCCCCAAATCTGGTTCAATGATAGAAAGCAATGATATTCTTACATTTCTGTGCATAATTCTACAACGAAGGATACTGAAAATAATTCTAGGAAGATCAAGTTTTTAACAAAAGAGTGTGAAAAAAAAATTAAAAAAGAATTGAATAAATATATTCATTTTATATAAATAAAATTATTATTGTTTTAATTATTTATTGTATTATATTATAATTATTTTTATTATAATAATTATTTGGTATTTTTATTTTGTATTAAATTATTTTCTAATTATTTATATTTGTATTCATTATTTTATTTTTTATTTTTAAATTATTTTTTTATTTTTTTTAATTTTATCTTTATTTGTATACCTATTTTTATTGTTAATTTTTTTTATTTTTTTAAGTATCTATCAATTAATTTTTTTTTTATTTTTGTAAATACATATAAATATTTTTGCGACATTGTATGAGGGCGCATTCTTTTATACTGATTGGAGAAAATCATCTGTTAGGAACAACAGAAAGGAGAACACCTGAAACAGTGTAAAAGTGTCCCCTCCGATTTGCAGCACATCATCTGCCTGACCTCATATCTGAGTTCTACGACCAAAATTACATAGGGATTGATACCTCACATGACACTGTACGCGCATTTAAAAAAACCGAAATCCCAGAGGCCTTATTATGGCCGCCATTTTGAAATTTAGGCATTTTGGGGGGTGTTTCGGGGTCGGACCGTGGTAAACTTTTGGTATGTTGTTCAGGAGGGCCTACTGATGACGTTTATATAAGAAAAGTTCGTTAAGCAATTTGTTCCGGGTCAAATCGTATTTCTCCCTGACTAATAATGTTTAACAACGTTGTCACAATATATCTAAGAAATATTTATTGAAACGTTTTTTAATAATGTTTCAGAAACATTTCTAAAAACGTTTTGAAAATATTGTCTAAAATATAATGTCAGGAAACATTGCTGAAACATTGCTTAAACGTTGCTGCTTTACCTTTACAAAGCAATATCATCAAAAATGTTGCCTTGCAACGTTGCGGCAACGTACACATTGCTCCCTTGCTGGGCGGGTGCCGTATATAGGTAGTTGGGTGACTTTGGTTAATTTAAGTTAGATTAAGTAAAGTTAGTTTAGGTTAAGTTAGGTGAGGGTCTGAAGTGCACGATTGGGCTTTCGTTATCCATATTACCTTAGCGACTTAATGATTATGTTGGCGACTTTATGATTGCTGCAGCAACTTTGTGGTTACGTTAGCAACTTTAGAGTTCTTTTAGCTACTTTATAGTTAGGTTAGCGACTTCATTAGTATTTGCTGGACGGCCAGCAGCCTCTTGTAGCCCGTTTTGTACGTCCAGTGCTTAGTACTGCTGATGATGGGCTTTCTTGAGAATCTCTACATAAGGGTCTACAACCATAACACCTGGCCCTAGAACCAACTAAAACAGAAGCCCTAGTAATCACAGGAAAAAAGAAAAGAAAAAGAAACTTTAAGATCAAAGTAGTAGACCACCCTATTACACCCGCTCCAGATATGAGATATCTAGGAGTTTGGTTAGACGCAGACGGCACTCTCAACACACACTTTAAAAAGATCTTGGAAAAAGCCTCCTCCGCTATAAAATCCTTTTCCCGCATTCTTCCAAATGTAGACGGGCCTTCTTCCATGAAGAGAAAATTCATCGCCACGGCAATTCTTTCCATCATCTTTTATGCTGTAAATATCTGGGCCACTGCTGGAGTATCAAATAAAAACAAGAAGCTACTAACGAAAACCATCCGACCGCTGAAACAACGCATATTCATGGCTTACAGGACCGCATCTAACACCGCCCTTGACATGATAAGTGGTATACTGCCTATTAATCACCTAATCACTGAAAAACTCAGCCTTTGGAATATAGAAGCAAGCAAACCAGACATCAAAGCTTCCGTCAGAGCAGCCTGGATATTGGATTGGCTACAAGATCCTACCAAAGACGCCTGGCTCAAAAACCTTCTCATAGACCCCGAATACTGGCTCACCAGGAAATTCGGTGACCTAGACTTCTTCCTTACACAAGCTCTTACAGGATACGGCGCCTTTAACAACTATCTCCATCGTATGAAAATTTCACCATCTCCCTTTTGCCCATATTGTCCCGCGGCACTTAGTACTCCGGAGCATTCACTCTTCGAATGTGCAAAATTCACACCGGAGAGGGCTCGTCTGAAGACACACATAGGAAAGACATTCACCATCGCGAATTTCCAAACCCGTTTACAAGACTCGAAAGACAGTTGGACTAAAGTGTGTACATATTTCAAGACCGTCCTTGTAAATAAAAAAGCAGCAATAGACACTCTAATCTTTACCGATGTATGCCAAAACAAGGCGGATTCCGGTGTCGCGCACCATCACCCGAGTTGATTTAAGTAATTCTTATACTTGTAAATTTCATCTCATCATAGCTAATCTCTGTTACTTATAGTCCTAATAATTCTCGTTCCTTAAATTCAATTTATCACTTTCATTGTAAGTGTTCTATATTGTAATTGTTCTATATCAAGCGATAATAAACAAAAAAAAAATAATAAAAAAAAAAAAAATAAAAATAATAAAAATAAGGGTCTACAACGCCCAGAACCTACCATCCTTATTAATTACTCACCCAAATACCGAATTGAGGATTAGTATATCATTTCATACCTTGTCACGTTTTCTAATCGTCAAATGAGAAGCCTGGATACTGCAGTTTAGCCAAATAAATGAATATGGAAAACACTCCAATGAAGTTGATGAGCTTTTGTATCACAGACACTATCAAAGAGCAAAGCATCACAAGTGCCAAGTTGGATAATCACTAATTGCTCATCTTTGGAGCTGTTTTCACTATTTCAGTGTTGACAACACTTGGAATGATCTGGAGCAATTCATCACTTTCCGGCCACAGTATTATAACCATGAAAACCATTCCAAATAGTCATGAAGGCCATATCCATTGGCCATTTCCATGAAAACTGAGTTATGCATGGTTTTGAATTACTAAGATGCATTCACAAACGGAGATAATAATAACTTTTTTTTTTTTCAGATAAAAAATGAATTAATATAGAGAAAAACTCTGTTAAATTTGATGAGCTTCCATACCACGAACGCCAGGGGTTCTCTGAATGGCCAGAGAACACAGTATCACATGCGCTAATTTTCTGAGAGAAAGATGTTTTTCAAAAGAGATTTTACTAAAATTCAAGGCAGGAAGTTAAGCTGGTTCAGTATTCCAAGTTTCAAGCCGAAACTCAATCTTATGCAGTCGCAAATCAGTTTCTCGTGTCTCTTGAAATGTTGGCAAAGTGGCGCTTTTGATACTTTGGCCGGAAGGTAACGATATGTAACTGGCCATTCTTCAAGGGAGTTTACAATAAAAATGTCAACGCTGAATCATTTACTGTAAAAACTCCCGTAAGATCCCATATTATTAAGTTTGTGACAAAAATAGCACTCAATTAGACTGTTCCACTCCCCGCCCGCCTATCCAACGACTGCTCCATATGTGTGACGTTTTTAGCCACTATCAATCTACAGTTTTTAATCGTTGAGAAAAATAGCTAATTCCTCACACTATCCATAACAAGTCAGAATATTAAGATCCACTAAAAAAAGGGTATTGAAAATTTGAAAACGGGTGAGAAAATTCTTAAAAAATTATTCATGATGAAGATTGGCCCGCAGCTATTGAGATGTAATTGACTGAATATAAATAAGCTAAAATCATTATAAAATTGTGCATTTATAAGAGATGGTGGAGCCGTACAATGGCAACCCCCCTAGGATGGATCGAAATTTTACACTTTGAGAGGGGAAACGCGTATCATCTAAAAAAAGTTGTCAAATGGGCCCCATACGAAGTTTCAATTTCACCGCATAAAATTGACCCCCTAGTAATTGACCCCTCCTAGTAATTGGCCCCGCATAAAGGCCCAAAAGGCCTAAATCACATATCATGTAGAGAGTTCAAACACATGTTTCCTTTCAAATTTTGTCAACTTGTTCTTGGAGCGAAAATTTTGTCCGTTTTGACGTATCGTGCACGAGTAAAGCACAACTGACGTATTTTCACCCGATAAATAGTCGGAAGCGCCCTCCAGAATGGCCGATTTACAGTAATGTGAAAGTGAGCGTGGGTAGTCAATTAGTCATTCCCAATAGATTTTGCCGAATTACGAACCTACGAATTACGAACGGACAAAAATTTCGTCCGTTTTGGCGTATATTCTAACCGTTCACCCACAAACATGCGGAAAGGGCGTTTGAGCGATGCACGGGGCGGATCGTCGCGCTGAGTCCGCTCGGTTCCCGCTTGCGTTCGGGGCCGGCCGGTCAGTCCAGGGAAACCCGACGCGGTGCGCGGCAGCAAGGTGCCGGCACTAGTCGGTGCCTGTGCAGCCATAATCTCACTGGCAAAGCCCGTGTTTGGGTAATTTTAGCTAAAGGAAATCTAAGTTAAACATGACGAGTGACAATCCGCGAACTTTGTAGTAGTGCTGACCCATTGTGATCAGTTTTTGCTCAAGTTTCTTTATCATTAAAATTTCTCTCCTGCGACTCGAAGTGAAGTGACTTGTACAAGATCTTTCTATTACTTCAAAACAGCTCTTTTCAGTGCTTCATTATTGCAAACGAGATGGCGAACAAGATGCGCAATAGTTCGTCCCATCCGATTTCTGGCTTGTCTGCAAAATTAAGAGAAACTGTTTTACCAACCTCAGAGGGAGTTATGAAATATTATTTTTTCACTCGTGAAGTATTACGGTCGGAAAAGTCGGATTTGAACCAACAGTGCATAAAGTAGTTAGTTGCGTTATGGAAAAAAATGCATGAAATTTGGTGCTGAGCATCAATCCCGACTTATTAGCAAAGTTACGCATAATTAGAGCTACTTAGATTTTACGCGACGTATGTAAAAATTGTTAAGTGCTTCAATAAACCAAAAAAATGTAAACCTAAAGTGAAAAAGATCGAGATACAAGTTACTTCACTTTGAGTCGCAGGAGCAAGATCGTAATGATAAGGAAACTTCAGCGAAAAGTGATCACAGTGGGTTAACACTACTACAAAGGTCGCGGATTGTCACTCGTCTTGTCTAACTAAGATTCCCCATAGCTGAAATTTCCCAAACACGGGATTTGCCAGTGAGATTATGACTGCACAGACACCAACCAGTGCCGTCACCTTGCTGCCGTGCATCACATTGACTTTCCCTGGACCGACCGGCCGGCCCCGAACCGTCAAAGCGAGCACCGATTGGGGGGAGGCAGCGCCACGATCCATGCCGTGCATCGCTCGAACGCTCTCTCCGCATGTTTGTGGGTGAGCGGTTGGAAATAGGTCAAAACAGACGAATTTTTGCCCCGAAGAACAACAATTTGACAAAATTTGAAAGGAAACATGTGTTTGAACCTTTTAAGTATTGAAAATATAGGCCTTTTGGGCCTGTATGCGGTACAATATGCAGTAAGGGGACAATTTTAGGCGGTGAAATTTTAGGTACTTCATATGGGACCCATTTGACAAATTTTTTTCCATGATACGCGCTTCCTCTCTCAAAGTCGAAAATTTCTATCCACCTTTCCGTGCCCCTACCGGCCTACCCTCCCCCAGGTCTTTTTGAAAATATGCTACTTGCTTATGCCATCTACTGGGAATATCTAGAGAATTAAGAGCAGAATTATTCTAAAAGAGAAGGATTTTAATTCATTTGGAGATTCTCTTGGATTATTAGATTCATGTACTAATCCCATGTTTTCAAAGAAATCGCTTTAAATAGTCAATGTGCCTAAAAATAAATTTACAATTTTTTAAAACAAATTAATATGAACTATTTCTTCTTTAGTGAACTTATTTTTTCTTCAATGATGAGGGAATAACTTACATCATTGCCTCTAGATTTAATAAACTCCATTTCTTCGGGTGTGAAAGCAGCCATGGAGATAGATTTAACTCGATGAGGTGGGGTAAGGCCTCTCCTGCAAGAAAAACGGGAAAAATTTGTTAAGAGGAAGAAACTGATGACAAGGAAAAGGAATTTCATACTGAAATGCTAAAAACTAAGATATCAATTCCACTTCTTGGGGAGTGTCCAACTAAAATTAGAACACAAAATATGTCTGAAAATGTCAAGCCAAATTAGTATTAGGTATCAGTGTCCCGACTTCTTCTTTTTTTTTCTTTTTTTTCTTTTTCAAATAGCCTGTAAGGCTAATCCCGTTCCAAATTCGCATACCGTGCATTCACCTATCTTAGGTATACCCTCCCTGTCTACTTCGCTCATCAATCTTCCCTCACCTCAGTTATTGTTTTGGTATACCCTCAATTTAAACAATAAGTTCCTTTTAAATGCCTCCAGTCCCAATTCTTCCATCTTGTAGCACTTAAATTTGTTATATTCCATTACTCCTTTATAGAAAATCATTTTATCCACATTACCATTTTCATGGTAAGCCCATACCTTACCGCCATACCTAGTCCCTGTTGCATTATCCCCCCACATGAGCTATTTTAAGCCTTCATCCACACCTTTTATATAACCTTTCTTAATTTTGTAAATAAATACGAAGGAACTGTATTTAATGAACAACTCGATACACAACCACTCCAACTCATTCAACATTCCTCCAATATTTTCTTCTCTACCCCGTTTTAAAATATATCTCATTGCTTTGTTTTGCCCCACTTGCAACCTTTCTATCACACCCTTCCCTGCTTCATAAAGCATGGTTGTACAGTGATTCAATATTGCCCCAACAACCGCAGGGTATGGCAATTTCTTCCCCTCAATCGTCAACATATTTTTTACCCTCCATAGTAGACTTACTCTCCTTCTATATTCATTAGCTATTATTTCTATTTACTTGTCCCATTTCAAATCCTCAGTCACCATCACCCCCAAGTATTTATATTCCCTTACTCTCCCTATTATTTGACTGATAGACCTGCGATTCCAGAAGATGCAATGAAAAGTTGCAATTTACTGCTTTATGGTCATATTCTAAATTTTATCTGATTCCCCACCCTACTAGTTCCCTTTAGTGCCTTAAGGCATCTTGTTGCAGATTTTTGTAACTGTCTACATTCTGTTTCAGTGCCTTTAAATCAATGAGTTATTGTTGAAAATCTGTTTTTTTTCAGCTGCCAAATCTCACAATCGTGCGTTAAAATACTTGTAACTATGGCATTGTAAAGTCTCCTCTTGTTCTCCTTGGAATGTTGTTGATTCCAGAGGATTCCATTTAACCACACTATAGCCTTCCTTGCTAGGGTGTTTCTTTCCTCAATAGCTCAATCCATCCTCCCATTCTGGTTCAAACACACTCTCAAGTATTCATAGTCCGCGCAGCCTCTGATCTGCTCTGCTATCCACCCTCTAACTC